AATTTATTTTTAATTTTTTTTTTTTAAATCCACAAGAGTGGTTTTAGAAAAGCAGATTAGTCGGAGTTATCCGAGTTATGGTATCCAGGGTCAGCAAGAAAATGACTCTTCAGGGGGTTTTGTGAGAAACATGTAGCCACAGCACCTACACTGCTTCTACCAACGTGTCTTCTTTTCCTGGACCCAGCTCCTGATTTACCTCTCATGACCAATCTTTCTGTGGAAGACCTTATTGATTGTAGCAGGAATAATAATCATGCTTCAGCATTTATAAGGATTAAAATCTATAAATTCTGTTCTCTCATCATGTATTCAATAGTCAGGTGGCATCAGAAGCCAGTGACCTGGAACAGAAAAGCACAGAGGAAGACAAAAGTCTGTTCTCTGGGAAGGTCCATGCTCACTGTGTCATTTTTCTTCCTTTCTCTTTTTGTGTTTCTGATGCTGTCTAACATTTACATGCTTTGAATTAGTCTCTGGATCTCCCTTTTCCTCTACTCCAGAGTCTAGAAGGACCAGCATCTTAACTTAGTTGCCTACATTTAAATTAGGCATCATGTGTACATTTTTTGATATTAAAGATCTCTATTCACTTTCAGTAATTGCCTGGGTGAGTAGCTCAGGTGTCCAAAAGAAATTTTATATGCCCCACCTCAACTTAAACCTTTCTTCTTTGAGATGATAACAAGAGGGTTTTATGGCAACCAGAAAGTAGAGTATGTTATATACACATGTAACTCCAGAAATGGTAATTTTAGTTTAGAAGAAAAATGCTGTGAAGGGTAGAAAAGAAAGGGCTATGCTTAGAACACTGGTTCTTTAAGCACTGGATCCAATCTTTCATACACTAAATATATATATTTAATGCAGATGTATAGGTCTAGGAATCAATTATATGAAATATCAGACTGGGAAAGCAACTAAACTTTTACTTGTAACACTGACAAATCTGATCTCACTGCTGCTTTACCAAATTAGTCCTGCCTGATTTGATGACTGACCCGAGTATGAATGAGTGCAATCTTACTGTGCCATTTCCCTGTTCTAAAGTCCCCTCTCAACAACACCTTTTGAACTGAAGCTTTATGTGCACTGCTCCTGACAAGTCTTTTCCTCATCTTGCTCGCACAAGTATTTAATCAGGTGGCATATTGCTCGTGGCCAAATAGTTGGCACATTCAGTTCCTCTGTACAGACTTTGCTATTCAAGCAGAGAACATCTGTCCTGTTGGCCACGTTCACTGGGGGTTATTGAAAGACCAGAGAGACAAGCATATGTTTTTTTATTCCAGTATTGGACCACATCTCAGAGTGGAAGCACACACTGTTCCTAGCAAACCTTGCTCACAGGTCAGTGCCTCTGACCTGTGACTTGTCCTGTGCTTGTAAACCATAACACATTTGTACCTCTGCTGTTCTGATCCTGCACATCTTTGGATGACCTTTTATTTTATTTTGGGGAACTTCTAAATCTTCTCAAAGGAAAAGAAAAAAAAAAAAATCAGTGATACACACATGAGCAAAATCTGTGCATGAAAAAGCTTGGTTAAATTTGGCTGAAACTTTTCAACGTTTTGGAAAGTGTTTAATAGTTGAAAAGTGGTGTTCTCTGTGAGTGAATGAATAAAATAGCAGCTGCAATGGATAATCCACTGATTTCACTGGGGATGTTTGTATAAGTCATTATACTCTTCTACAGGTATCTCTGTACCTAAGGGTTTTGAAGACTGTATATACACAACATATAACACAACAAAGTGTTCTGGCCTACATCAGCTATTATTAAATTTATCTTAAATGTATTTGCGAAGCAGGAAAAGAACTGTACACTGTTAAGCTATTTACAATTTAAAACTTTGCTTTGAATAAGTCAGATTTTTCACTAATGCCACTGTATTTCAAATGTCCACTAAAAAGGGAAATATTCTTCAATATTTCACATATTTTATACAGACTGGGGTTGGGTAGTTATGGTCCTTTTGTTTTGCCAATTCACAAACACAATGACAAAGAACAATATTTTGATCACTTTAGCCTCATTAGTCTTATAGTTTTCTTCATGAGGTAATCTTCAGGTGTAGTGTTATACGATCAGCAGGGCAGGGAGGGGATTCTGCCCCTCTGCCCCGCTCTGCTGAGACCCCACCTGCAGGGCTGCATCCAGCTCTGGGCTCCCAGCACAGCAAGGACAGGGAGCTGCTGGAGCCAGGCCAGAGGAGGCACCAAGGTGATCAGAGGGATGGCGCAGGCAGATAAAGGCTGGGAGAATTGGGATTGTTCTGCCTGAGAAAGAGCAGGTTCTGGGATGACCTAATTGGGACCTCCCAGTACCAGAAAGGAGCCCATAGGAAAGATGGAACGGGACTTTCGACAAGAGGATGGAGTGACAGAACAAGAGGGAATGGCTTCAAACTGAAGAAGGTTTGAGAATAGGTTTATATTAGACATTAGGGAAAAATGCTTTATTGTGAGGGTGGTGAGGCCCTGGCACAGGTTTTCCAGAGGAGCTGTGGCTGCCCCATCCCTGGAAGTGTTCAAGGCCAGGTTGGATGAACTCTGAGCAACCTGGGATAGTGGAAGGTGTTCCTGTCCATGACAGGAGCTTCAGGACTTTAAAGTGCCTTCCAACCCAAACCATTCTGTGATTCTATGGTACTTATGTGCCGGGCATATTGTGAGTATAAGGGGACAGCATTCCTGATTTGCAGCAAGAGGCTTTGGAGTTGTTATCTGGCTTTGTACGAAGTAGCCATAATCATTTCAGACACTTAACAAACCCTGACACTGCAACGTTTGGAAACGGTAAAATAGCTGTCACTGACTGCACACAAGAATTAAGGAAGAATTAACTTGCGGACCATTTATGGGAGTATGCGTGGGCAGTGCACATTATGCAGAGATACGGTTCGGATCCTTTACGTGAAGAAATTATTAAATTAATAAATCTCTAGCATATACAAAATAAAGGTGGGGGGGAAAGAAAGAAAAAGGAAGAACGCACGGCGAGATGAAACCTTTGAGACCTCAAAGCCGCGGCGACAAAAGGCAGCGCCGGGCGCGGGGGCGGCCGCTGCCCGCAGCCCGACAGTAGGGGGCGCTCGGGCTTCACCGTGAGGCGCTGTCGCCGGCCCGGCCGGGCGGGACAGCGGGGAAGGCCTGGCTGCGTGTGACCCCCGAGCGGGGCGGCTTAGCCCCCGAGCGGGGAATCTGCGCCCCATCGCGGCGTGTGTGTGACCCCTTAACGGGGTTTGTATGTCCCCTTAACGGGGCTTGTGTGTCCCCTTAACGGGGCTTGTGTCGCCACTGAACGGGGTGTCTGTGACCCCTGGCGTGTGTGCGACCCCTTAATATAGAGTGTCTGTTACTCCTTAAAGGGGTGCCTGTGTCCTTTTAATGGGGTGTCTCTGACCATTCATTTGGTGTTTATGTCAGACACCTCCTAGCGGGGTGTCTGAGCCCCCTCGGGGTGTCTGTGACCCCTCGTTGGATGTCTGTGCCCCTCCGGGGTGTCTGCGCCTCCTCAGCGGGGCGTCTGTGTCCCCTCTGGGGTGTGCATGACCCCTCAGTGGGTGTCTGTGACCCGTGGGGTGTGTGTGACCCCTTTAGGGGCGTCTGTGCCCCCCATCACGGGCTGGCTGTGATCCCTCACAGGGTGTGTGCTCCCATCACGGGCTGGCTGTGACCCCTCACAAGGTGTGTGCCCCCATCACGGGCTGGCTGTGACCCCTCACAAGGCGTGTGCTCCCATCACGGACTGGCTGTGACCCCTCACAGGGTGTGTGCCCCCATCACGGGGCGCCTCAGCTCCCATCGCGGGGTGTCAGTGCTCCCCCTCACTGGGTATCTTTGTCTCTCTCACGGGCTGTCTCAGCCCCCTTACGGGTTATCTCTGCCCCCTCTAGGGGTCTGCCCCGCTCCGCCACCGGGAGCCGCTTACAACCCGCTTTCCTCCGCGTGGCTCCTTCCCCCGTGTCCCTCCCTCTCTCTGCTGTGGTGCTTCGGGGTTTGTTCCGAGCGTCTGTGGGAAAGGGGCTGTTCTCCCGGCTCCCGGGGGGCGAGGCGGCTCGTTCTCCCCTCTCCGTCACTGCCCCCTCCGGGACCTCGAAACTTTCCCTCTGGCGAGAGCTGCGCTGCATCCGAGGGGCCCAAGGGAGGCTGAAGGCTCCAGGGTTTCGGCAGAGCCCTCCGGCTCTGTGGGACACGTGCGATCTTTTGTTTTGTGTTTTATTTCATTTGCCACATTCCCTTCCTTTTCCACAGAACGGGCCAGCAGAGAAATCCCTGGGGAATATCCTTTCAAGGGTCTTACTTCCGAGCGCCTGCGTGCGCGCGAGAGAGGGAAAATGAATAATTAGAGAACAGTTCCATGAAAATCACTTACCGAAAAATTAGCTGCCCATTAAAGAGGAAGCGGTGAGGAGCAATCATGTAAATCCTACCTACACCCAACTGTAGAGGGGAGGCAGAGATCCTGATTCCCAGCCCTGCGGCTGCCTGCTGGCATCGCCGTCCCTATCTCCCTACCCCGGGAGGAGAGAGAGAGGGACGCGTGGGTGTGGAGCGCAGTGGTTTAGTCCACACCCCGCAGCCTCCCTTCCCCAAGCAGCCTCGGGAGCCGCGCTCATTCTCCTCCCTCTCCCTGCCAGCCGGTGTGTCCGCGGCGGCGGGAGGCGGAGGCGGCGGGAGAGGAGGGGAGAGAGGAGCGGAGCGAGGAGAGGAGCGGCGGACTCCGGGGCCGCCCGGGAAAGCCGCGGCGGCGGGAGAGCCCCGAACTCCGCGCAGCCCCCGCCACCGCTCGGCAGCGGCCGCGGCACCGCGCCGGGTCCTGCCCTCCAACTGTTCCCGCTCCGCTGCCAGTGAAGGAGGGAGGTGCAGGGGACACGGCTTTAATTTTTATTTTTTTTCATTATCTTTTTTCTCTTTTGAGGGGATGCTGAGAAAGCAAGCCGTTCCCCTCCCGTGTAGCACATTGCCTGGGCGTTCCTATTATGGAAGTTAAGTGAGAAACTCTGCAGCTTGAACTGATTTGGGGAGAGAAAGGGAGAGAGAAAGGGGGTAGGGGGAGGGCGAGAGCGAGAGGAAGGCAAAATAGCCGAACCAAACCAATGGTTTTCCTGCAAAGTGCCGGGAAGTTTGTGGAGCACTTTCTAGGAATCAGGTCCTTTCTCAGAGTCTCTCCTTGTCTTCCGAAGAAAGAGCTTGCTTTTGGATTGCCATGGATCCTAAAGAGAGTCTTAGACACACTTGAATAATTCCCCTGCTTGGGCTGGATTGGTGGGAATTTAGGAAGGAGCGTGTGTGCAAAGCAGAAGCATTCGGAGCTCACTCGCTGCTTCTCTAATCTGTATGGATCTAAAAGTGTCACATTCAAGACCTTTGCATCTCCAGCTTTTGAATTGAAGATTTCCCTTTCCACTTTAAATAGCTGCTAAGAAACTGAAAACTTTTGGACCTACCTCTTACTGGCTTTGGATACTTTTTTCTTTTTTTTATATTTTTTTCATTTTTTTTTTTTTTTAATCTCCGTGGAATTTGTCTCGCAAGTGATCGGGATTGTTTTTAATATGTCAAAATGGGTCTGCTGACGCCACTCGTGCTCTTCGGATTTGCATTTTTTCAAGTCTATGGTAAGTTAGCTTATTTTAGATATGTCATTTCTGTGCAGAAATCCTCTTCATCTGAATTTGATTTGGGAGAGCACATGGATGGCATTATAAGCTTTAACGTTACAGAGCCCTAAGTTTGTTTCTGGTATAAAAATGGTATTTGGGGAGGGAGGGATCGGAAGAGGGATAATGTATGTTTCCAATAAGCAGCCCTTCCCGTCTCCTAACTTAATGGAAAAGCAGCTTATGAATGGAATAATGTCAGCTTGAGGTGGCGAGCAAAGAGTAAAAAACTACCGTGATAAATCTTTTATTTGGGGGTGGGGAGCGGGAAGGGTAAAGGAAAAGCAGAGCGCTGCTGTAGCTGGTATTACTTTGCCGCCTTCTATTGTTAAACTTTCCACGGGTAGAGCCAGCTGATGAAATATAAATAGGTTAGCCCTGCCTGGGCTCCAGGTGAGGCGGACTGGCGAATTTCCAGAGTCCCTCAACGCGTGGCTCGGCGCTGGCGAGCGGCGGGAAGGGAGGGAGGGACGGAGGGAAGGGAAGGAGGCGGGCAGGGAGCGCGGGGCGGCGGCGGCGCGGCCCCCACCGCCCCGCTCCGCCTCCGCCTGTCTCCGCCGAGCCGGGCAGGTGGGGCGGCAGCGTCCCCCCGGCAGCTCCGTCCTCATACCGAGCTCCCTGGATGGAGGGTTTGCATGAAGCTTGGCGACGTCTGGGGAAAGGGTGGGTTTCCTTATGAACACCCGCCCCTCTCCTTTGGGTGTGCTCTGCAACGTTTCTTGTGGTTTCGAGTTTAAGTACTGGATGGGGAGCTGTAAATTACCATCTCGGGGAAGTACGGGTTAGCAGGGCGAGAACTTCAGTGCAAAGGCAAATTGCCTTTCAGAGTAGGGGTGGGCGCTGTGCCCATGTGCAGGCGGTGGATGCGCTGGAGCAGCTCAAGCACACGACTAGGAGCGAGCATCCAGCTCCACAGAGGGTGTGCTGGCCCCCGATGCTCGACAGGCTAGCGTTGGGTATTAGCAGCCCTAAACACTCCTTTGCGTTTGAGGTGAATGCAGTGTCTGGGGCCCTGGATGTTTTTGCCTGTCTGTCTGAGCAAACTTTGTTCCAAGAAGCTGTTCACAGCATTTGCTATATCAGTCCCGAGGCAAAGGTTCGGGGTTTATTGTTTGCAGTCACAGAATGCTTTGGGTGTTTCTCCACCACCCCTTAGCAAGAAAGGAGGCAAAACAGAAGAGGAAGAGATTTAAGTGCAGTTTTACCTTGGGTGTATGATGTGCTCCGCAGTTAAATCTTAGGTTTTGTCAGTCGATAAGAAAATTTCTACATAATGTATGCACGTGCTAAACTAAACAGGAGAAGTTTTAACTGTGAAAGGATTTAACAGAACATTTATGTCTGTCAGTGCAATCTTAGTTCTAAAGGGATTTTATGTTTTGCTGTATTTTTCTTGCTGTAACAAAAGATCCTTAACTTTAAGGCCACTGATATTGGAGGGATCTTTGTGTACAAACTTCAAACATGAGATTGTAGAAATGTAATTATTAGTAAGTGTTTAAAATTGTATGTAGCTAGAAGGAATACAATTAAAGTGCTCAGTGGAAGTGACAGAGTGAATCAGAGGAGCTTGGTGTTACAGAATGTAATTAAAGTACCAGTCTGTTTGGAGATATATGAAACAAATGCAATTAACCAGCTTGCTGGAACGACAGGAGCACGACATAATTTATTCGAGTTTTGTCATGGGGAACACGTGTAGAACGTTTGTTCTGGCTTAGCTTTATGCGGGTGGGGCGGTGCAGGTGAAGCACACAGCTAATTTAGAGCCGGACCATTAGGAAAAAATGGCCAAGCAGCTCCGGGAATATGTGTGATACTCCCCTTTTGTGGGAAGATCTTGCAGAGACTGTCAAGTTTGCCTGCATTAACAACTCTCTGAAATAAATAAATAAAGAGCTTTGTGGATAGCACATCATGACCAAGTAGATATAAGCTGTTATTGTCGAAATGACTAACAAGTAGCTTTGAAGAAATACTGGCAGGCAAGCTTGGCACACAGTGCTTTTGTCTCTTTAGAAGCATAGTAATTACAATCACATCTTAGGCTGACATATACCACTAGTTGCTTTGAAAAGAGCTCGATCAACAGCAGCACCATTTGTGATGCTTTAGTTTAAGAATAAAAGACAAAACCCAACAGACTTCTTATTTATAGGTCCTTGGTTTGTTTTCTGTGTTTGAAAGTTACCTCTTAGTGCTTTTCTGGGTTTGAGGGGGTTTTGTTGTTAGGCTTCACTGGGTGTTTTTGTTTTTATTCTTGGCAAGAGGTCCAGACACATACAGTGTAGCATTTGAGGCATGTTAACCATCCTTATCCCTCTGAGTTTTGTTTTATTTAGTAATTGAAAAACAGTATAGATCGAAATTATAATCTTTTTGTTCTAAAGTTATTTTTGCTGTCCATGGTTTTAGAACACCTGAAAATTACACAGCTCAATGAAAGTGGAAGAAAACATGTACCTACATGTATGTAGCTACACACCTGTGTAGATTTTAGGGGTTTTATTATTGTGCTTTTAATTTTCCTGTAACCCTGCCCGTGTTCTTGCACTCTGGTGAGTGAATAACTTCCATTATATTTTTCTTTAGCTATCAGTCTTGGTTATTGTTCTTGATGCAAAACAAACAAAGAAAAAAAAATCCCAAATACCAAAACACACAGAACTCCCCCAAACAAACAACAGAACACCTCACAAGACAGAGTCTGCACCATAAAGTAAGCCACTAGCTACTGGAGTTAAATGAGCCGAGTACATGTGGATTTTTAATAGTGTTCAACTGATTGTTCTTTCATTCTTCTGTGTTTTGTTGTCCTTTTCCCAATAATTAATAAAGTTTAAAAGAACAGATATTAAAAGGTAACAACTGATGTGAACACAGGTATTGGTGAGAATGACTCTGGCCTGATAGGACTCATAAGTACTTTCAATGAAAATGACAACCTTTTATGTCGGAGCTGGCTTTTAGTCCCTTGAAAGCAAGTGTGATGCTCTTGAAGGAGAAGGTGTTAAAGATACATGAGAATAATTCTGAAAAAACCAGCCTTTTATCACCATATTAATATATTTCAAAAGTACTTCTTAATGGAAAGTGTGCATATGAAATGGTGTGGTGGCTGAAACATTCTGTATTTATTTTCCTTTTTATTTTTTAAAAATTCACTTTATTTCTTCATGCCAGTGAGCTACACATCTGTGGCCTTGTGCAGGTCCCTGTTGCCTGTTGGAGAACATGGCTTACATATAAAGCCGGAGTATATTGTTCCAGTGAATATTTGAGCTGACAGGGTCTTGATCTCTCATGTGAGTTTTGCTGTTGATGGATAACCTTTGCTTCTGTGGAATGTGTGCATTTTAATGCCTTAAGAGTAAAATTCTGGAGAGTTTGCAGTTTTGTTTCGGTTACCTTGTTCTTCCATAGGACCCAATTCTGCCGAGCATTTAAGTGCTTTCATCTCTTAGCCACAGCCTTGCAGAAGTTAATAAGAATTTAAACACGTTTCAAGTTAATCATAGGCTTTAAAACTTGGCAGAGTAAGGATGAATTTATGCCTATGATGAGAGGTTTTGCTGAATTAGTCTTAAGATTTTGCTTTCTTCCTGTCTTGTAAGATGCCATTGCAACAATATGTTTTTATGTGGGGAAGATAAGCAGTGAGGGAACCCTGTCAATATACTTCCAGAGATGGATTTGCTTGAAAAGCAAATGATAATCCAGGTTATTTGGTTTGTGTCTTTGCTAATTTGGAGCTCTGCAAAAGTCTGATACTCCACAAATCTTCCTGAGAAGTTGAAATTAGGGGGTTTTAAGCCTTTATCTGAGTTGCACTGACTTCAATAATCCTTCCATTAGCAACTCTCTGTAATGATGAGATTGATACTGCTCAGGGAAATTGAGTTTTAGCAATGCAGGCTAAAGATATGCAACCTTAAAAGTAGGCAAAAGACTTAAAGTACATATTTAAGGATGCATAAAAAGTGTCAAGGAGATGTGCCAAAAAGTGTGATGGGAGAAAAAGGAGGCTTTGGCTGGCCTGTCCAGTCAACTCGATTTGCAGGAATCTCTTTTCCATAGCAATGCTATGTGGGCTTATAGCCCTGAATTAGAGATGTGCTCTGTCCACTGCTGAACCATTTAGTGGAAATTACTGAAGAGTATGCAATGGCTTTTTAGCCATTTGTTACCCTTGAATTGCTATTCAAATATTGATCTGGGCTAAATAGATTGCTAACAGGTTCTGTGCATTCTGTTTCAGCCGCCTAAGAGGACGCTGCTGTCAGGTTTTATCTGTTATCTCAGCTGGCATGGCTGAGCATGCTCTTCCTGTGGCTGCCATCTGGCTCACACTTCTCACACCAACCTTGGGGAGGATACTTAGTGATCATATTGATGCTGTTTCTTGCCAAGACACTCCGTTACTGCTGTGCTTTTCTACCTTTCCATAGGAATCTCTTTATTTCATAGGAAGAAGGCAGAATACAGCAAGTACTTGCTCTTGTCAAATAAATAAATAAATAATTGTGTTGGCTTTTTGGTTTCTTACGTGTTACTGAATTTTTGAAGTTCCCTTTTACTGTTGCCTGAGGATTCTTGTACTTATGTTTTGACAGTGTACATGCCCTGTATGTTCAAAACAATTTGTTTTGGTCCATGGACAGGTACAGGATCTGATCCTGAATCACTTATTCAGAGAGAATGTTACAGATACCTTTTATGAAGGATAGTCATGTGCATTGTTAGTTATGAGATCTTTGAATGCAAAATATTTGTGTAGAAATAGAGATTTGCAGATTTTAGTGTATTTTAGTGTCACCATCTTTACTCTCACAACTGACTTCTATTAGAAATTGTGGACAACAATTGAACAGTTGAAGTTATAAGCTCAAAAATAAGATTGAGTTTAGTGTTGTCCTCCCCTCAAACCTTTTCCTTAACAAAATAACTGCTAATCACCC